CTGCATATCATGGAACTCAGGGTCACAGTCACCTGGGGAAGGAAGTGGACAGGCCAATCCTTGTTAAACAAATGGCTGGAATTTGTTCATCTTTCGTCAGCATATCATGGAACTCAGGGTCACAGTCACCTGGGGAAGGAAGTGGACAGGCACGCGGCCTCTCTCTGCACCTTCGTGGAACTCAGGGTCACAGTTGCATGGGGAAGGAATTGGGGTGGGCACATGGCCTCTCGAGTCCACACCCATTCACCATCCTTGCTGCTGTTTTGCAATCCGCTTGATAAATGGTCTAGAAGTTTTGAGATTGAGGTAAGTTCTTAGCCTCAGATTCTATCTTATTTAAAGTTAGAATGAATATTTGTCCCTCCTTTTCTTTGGGCCTCTTCTGGGTTTTGGCGTCCGCGAATTCTCGGATATCATCTGTAGTTCACAGTTCATACTCTGTCCTGACTCCTTTGTAACCTGGGAGGCAGTCTGCTTGGGCCCATGTCTCTGAAGCTGCTCAGTAAATCAGCTCAACGGAATCCAGGGAGCTCTGTTCAGTTCCTGAGTTATGTGCCCAGTCACAGTGCTGCGGCTTTAGGAGGAGCTCCTAAGAGGACCGTCTGCGGCTCAATTACACCTTCCTGATGTGAGCCCCCTCCCTGGCTGGGGGCTCACTCCCTCCGCTAAAGCCCTTGTTTGTCCTCTGCCAGGGGCCAAGAGGTGCAGCTTCACGGAGGCCAGGGGCGAGAGGAGGCCCAGCTCTCCCCGGCTGCCCATGTCTGACGCACTGCCTCGGAAGCACCTGTGGCCACTGAGCGACTTCTGCCCTGTGGCTGGTTGACCTGTGCAACTTCCGCTCCACAATGTCCTTGAATGAGTGAGTCCTACCCAGGCTCCTAACCATTGGGTGTTTTTTGAGCCATATAGAAATGTGAAGTTCATGAAGAAAGAAAAATCCAAAAAGGCCAGTGATCTGCCCCTCAGCCTCATCTCCAAGGAGGAGCTGGCCCCGTGTTTGTACCCCTCCCGGGTGCAGCCTGCCCTGGTGCTGGTGATGCCTCCAGGATCTTCCAGAGGAAGGTGAGACAGGCAACAGGATAGAGTAATCGCAGCCTCTAAAAAACACGTTTCACAGCAGATTAGGAAAACATGTGGCAGGAGGAGGGTCAACAGTGCAGGAGGCGATTCCTTCCCACTGTGTGCTTCCCGCCTGACTTTACAGCAAGGCCGCTTGTGCACGGGGGTCTCCAAGCCCACCCTGGTGCCTGACTGCACGTAGGCTTAGCGCTTTCTTCCAAGGCAGACAGCAGTAATTTTCTCTTTTTCAGTCATGTTTTTGTTATTTAGAAAACATTTTTCTTTCAACATTTGCCACATCAGTAGAAGTAAAATAAAACGTTCCTTTTCTCATGTGTGGTATTTGTGTAATGACGACGCCCTGCTTGCTGCGCTCGACTGAGCTCTCGAGGACGGAGGCACTTCTGTTTTCTCACGGTCGTCGCCCCTGGGGGCCTCGGACACAGAAGGTGGTCAGTGAACGGTGGCGTGGGGGACGGCTGAGTGGCAGTTGTGTCTGCGGGGCAGAGTCCTATCGGAATGTACAAGCATGACTGGATATGCAGACGTTTATTCCTGGAAGCTATAGTCTGGTCCCTCAATGACCCCATGCCCTCCACAATTATTTGCAAAATTCCATTTGATGTAAACTGGAGTCAAGAGGGGGTCTAGTCGCGGCTTACCCAGTGATATTCCCATTCCCAGGTATGGTAAAAGCCCAACTAGGAAATTTAAGTTTTGGGGCCTCACAATAAAATGGCAGATGGTTAACAGCACCAGCTCTTCCAAATCTCACTAAAACGCTCAGGAAGACGCAAAGAGGAGACGACACGGCCTCCTACTAAAGGTGGTTCCGCTCATCTCGGAGTGACTCCGAATGAACAGATGGCTGGTCCTGGACCAGAGAACAAGGCACAGAACCGGGCAGCCTCTGCGCCCTGAGGCCTACGTCTGCCCCCGAGAGAGCAGCTCCTGGGCGACAGCACCCCCATCCATCAGCACCTCTGGCCTCCCATCCTCTTGGCGACCCAACACCAGGAACACCACGCAGGAGGTGAAATGCTAAAATGTAACTTCGCCAGAAATAATCTCTGAAGATACAGAGATTAGCATAGTCACACACAGTGCTGACTGGGGAAGTAGCCTTTTTAAAATAGTTTATTTAGAATATCTGAGAGTGAAGCCCGGGAGAGAAGAGGCTGTTTTAGCTGAGCTGATCTGTCCTGGAAAAGCATCTGCCTGTGCAGGACTGTGGACAGTCTCCACTCGCTCCAGGGTGTAGACGAGAGTGAGGGTCCACCCGGCCCTGCTTGTTGGCAACCAGTCTGGAGATGACCTCATGACAGCAGAGTCGGTGCCGCAGAACGAATCGAATCGGCGCCCAGTAAGCAAAGGCAGGAGGGGCGTGGCCAGAGCCGCACAGACGGCCCAGGAGGCGGCGCAGGAGGCGCAGGGGGCTTCTGGGAAGGGAGCGGAAAGCTAGAGGAGGGCACGGGAGCATCAAAGGCCGGGAGAACGGGGCAAAGCAAGACAAGTAAGGATGCTTAAGAACCAAGGAAATGCCTTTCATTTTTCCTTTTTTTTTTTTTTTTTTTTTTTTGAGACAGAGTCTCGCTGTGTCTCCCAGGCTGGAGTGCAGTGGCGCGATCTCGGTTCATTTTTCCTTTTTTTTTTTTTTTTTTTTGCCTTTTGCGTAAGTTGAGCGTTTTTAAAAATTTATTTATTTTTGAGACAGAGTCTCACTCTGGTGTGATCTTGGCTCACTGCAGCCTCTGCCTCCTGGGTTCAAGTGATTCTGGTGCTCCAGCCTCCCAAGTAGCTGGGATGACAGGCGTGCACCACCACACTCGGCTGATTTTTGTATTTTTAATGGAGATAGGGTTTTGCCATGTTGGCCAGGCTGGTTCTTGAACTCCTGACCTCAAGTGATCTGCCCACCTTGGCCTCCCAAAGTGCTGGGATTCCAGGTATGAGCCACTGTGCCCACCTCTCTATGATTCCAGGTGTGATACACTGCACCTGGCCCAGCCTCTATGTGATTCCAGGTGTGAGCCACCATGTCCAGCCTCTATGTGA